CTTCCTGCCTGCGCTCACACAATTGTCACCATCACCTGCCTACCTTCTTCCCCAGCTTCAGTCAGGCACCTGCATTGCAAAATAGACATCGTGTAGATCTACTCCCCACTCTTGGCCATCAAGGTGCTGCCTCACACACACATGCACACCTGACCCATTCTCTCAGGCCTAACAGTATTGTAATCCCAGCCTCTCAGGAGGCCGAGCCAGGAGGTTTCAAGTTCAAGGTCCTCATAGGCAACTTCGGGAGACTTTGTCTCAAAATAAAAAATAAAAAAGGGCTAGGGATAAAAAAAAAGGGGGGGTGGCTAGGATGTAACTCAGTGGTGGAATGCCCCCCAGGTTTAATCCCCAGTTTAAAAAAAGAAAAAAAAAAAAAAAAAAGCTTGAGGTACTCTGTGCCATGTGGACACCTCATGGAGCAGTTTGAATCTATTATTTTAATTATTAGATTAGATCCCAGCTCTCCCATGAGACATGCTGCTTGTGGACTGTGGTATGTTAAGCTGCTATGGTCTCCCCTGCCCAAGCCTAGACATCTGAGCCTGACAGGACAGAGAGATCAGTGTTTCCTGAGCACCAACTCCACACCAGGCTGTGGCATCTTATTTGTGATGAATAGGCCACAGTCTGGGGGTCATCTGGTCCACTGGCTCCCAACCCCGGATGAGCATGAGAATCGCCTGCAAACTGTAAAAAAAATTCCTAGGCCCCATTTGTCTCAGCATCTCCAGGAGCTGGGCACAGAGTCTGTGTTATTCAGGGCCTCATTCCCCACTCTGGGATGGTGGTTGTGATGGGTCAGTTTGTGTGACAACTTGGCCAGGCTACAGTACTCACTGGTTTAGTAAAGCACGAATCCAGCTAGGCACACAACTGTAGTCCCAGCTACTCGGGAGGCTGAGGCAGGAGGACAACTTGAGCTCAGGAGTTTGAGGCCAGCCTGGGCAACATGGCAAGATGCCATCTCATAAAAACAAAAGCCAGGCATGCCTAGAATCCCAACGACTCAGGAGGCTGAAGCAGGAGGATCACAATTTCAAGGCCAGTCTCAGCAATTTAACTGTCTCAAAAAATTTTAAAAAGGCCAGGCAAGGTGGTGCATGCCTGTAATCCCAGCAGCTCAGGAGGCTGAGGCAGGAGGATTGTAGGTTCAAAGCCAGCCTCAGCAATTTGGTGAGGCCCTAAGCAATTTGGTGAGACCTCGTCTCAAAATAAAAAATATTTTTAAAAGGAGGGACGTGGCTCGGTTGTTAAGCACCTTGGGTTCAATCCCTAGTACGCATACACATACAACACACAAAACCAAACCCACTAATCTGTAAAGATATTTTGTAGATGTGGGAACACCTACAATTAGTTGAATTAAATAAAAGTGATTATTCTTTTTTTTGGGGGGGTACTGGGGATTGAATTCAGGGGCACTAAAACACTGAGCCACATCCCCAGCCCTATTTTGTATTTTATTTAGAGACAGGGTCTCACTGAGTTGCTTAGCGCCTCACTTTTGCTGAGGCTAGCTTTGAACTTTTGATCCTCCTGCCTGAGTCTCCTGAGCCACTAGGATTATGGGAGTGCGCCACTGGGCCAGGTGTAATTATTCTTAAAGACTGTCTTTGACAATGGAAGTTGACAATCAGTTGAAAGCTTCAAGAGGAAAAACTGCAGTTTCTTGGACAAGAATTATTGCCTCAAGATTGTGGCAACTATGGGCTGGGAATGTGGCTCAAGCGGTAGGGTGCTCGCCTGGCATGCGTGCGGCCCGGGTTCCATCCTCAGCACCCATACAAACAAAGATGTGTCCGCCGAAAACTAAAAAATAAATATTAAAATTCTCTCTCTCTCTCTCTCTCTCAAAAAAAAAAAAAAAAAGATTGTGGCAACTCCTGATTTGCCAGTCCCCATGATCATGCAAGCCAATTCCTTAAAACACATGTGTATGTATGTGCGTGCATGTGTGTATGTGTATATGTATATATAGATGGATGTAAAATCAGTAAGGAGGCAATCAGCCAGGTTGCAGACTCAGCTCCTTCATCCCTGCAGTGGTACAACACACCCCCTGCCCAGAGGGCCCCTCTTCTGAAAGCCTGGCCCCACCCACATCAGTGGGCTCTGAACCTTCTAAGCAGCAATGTGGATATCATACACATCCAAGGGTCACAGGATTTTAAACCAATAATACTCCTTATAGATCACCCCACCCACTGCCCCGCTCCTGTGTTTTCACAGTGGGGAAACTAAGGCCCTACACCTGAGCCCATGCCCATTTCTAATCACCCTGACTTTGATGCCACCACTTCCTCCCTTGCTGTCTGCCCACTCACACTGTGCTTCTTTTTCTTTCTTTCTTTCCCTCTCTCTTTCTTTTTTTTTGCAGTGCTAGGGATTGAGGCTAGGGTCTCGCTCGAGCTAGGCAAGTACTCCTTCAATGAGTTCCATTTCCATCCCCTCTAGGGCCCAAGCAATCTTCCTGCCTCAGCCTCCCAGGTAGCTGGGACTCCAGATGTGTGCTACCGTACCTAACTTGTCCTTCTGTTTCTCAGGCTCACCAGGACCCAAGGGGCTTCATGATGGCTGTTCTCTCCACCCCTTCTTCCAGATAGCTACCTGGCTTCTATCCCTTCAGGTCCCGATCACCTTAAGAGCAAGTCTTCCTTGTCCTCACTAGGTAAAGCAGCATCCCTGTGCCTTTGCTTTCTATCCCCTTACCCTGCCTTGTTTTTCTTTGTACGCATATCCTACGATATGATACACATATTCGCCGTTTCCTGGGTCCTATCGGTAGAGGGTAGGTGGCATGGGGGAAGGCACCCAATGCCTGGAACAGAGCCTAGCTCACAGAGAGGGCTCTACAAACATCTGTAAAATGAATGAAGGGATTCATAACTTGAGGTTAAACCCTTAGATCTGAGTTGGGAATTCCGGCTCTACTGCCCTTTCTCATGCCCGCACTCCTCCTACTTCCCATGGCTCAGCATTGAGACAGATGCTCTCAGGAGTCTCTTGATTGTCCTCCCAGGTTTCTGATCCCTTCCCATGCTTTGAATGCTCCTGCTGTGTGGTCTCCTGGGTCTACGGTACTGGCCAGGGAGAGGAACCTAATTCAGTACATTGCATGGGTGGGAAGGAGAGGGACTATCTTTTCATTTTCATTAAAAAAAAAAAGATATCCTGGTCAGATTGAAGGATAGGAGTAGGAAACAGACTGTAGTGAATGGATGGGAAGGGAAGAATTGTGGCCACCTGAGACTTAAAGCAGCACTCACTGGCTGGTGCTGAGAAGGTAGAGGAACTTTGAGCCAGGTCTGGCCCTCTGGGCAAAGGGTTGGAGAGGCAGCTATAGTTCATTTCCTCCAGAAGACGCCTGAAGGACCCTCTAAGGGAGGATCCAGCTCCCAAATGCTTAAGGGTTTGTGGGAGGATAAAAACATTCCCAATTTACTGGCAACCAGTGAAGCTTGATATAGCAACTCGGAGGCAGCCCTTTGTCCTTGTCAATATCATACTGCTGCAGAGCAGCTGGTCAGAGGGACTTGGGTTCAGAACTGTGCATGTACCCACCGTCACCTCCCAAGACTCTTTCTGGCCCCCAGCCTGCCCCAGATGGCAATTTTCTGCTCTGAATGTGGACTTGGCCCCCTTTCTCTCCCACCATCCCTGCTAGGTCATCCAGCTCCCTCCTAGCCTGGAGAGTGGGAGTTTGGGCACAAAGCTTTCCCTTCCACTGTGAGCTGGGTGGGATAGAGGCTACTTCCCAAGACATCCATCATGTTAGAGATCTAAACTCCATGCCCTGTAGAAACTGCATCTCCATTATGCTTGAACACCCCAGCCTTTTCTGGTGCCTCCTTTGAACTTGACAGAAAGAAACCCCAACTACTTAATGCTAATGTCTATGGTGTTGTCTGTGGTCTCCACTAGATTGTGGTCTCTTTGGCGCTTCCAGAGCACCTTCACAACTTCTTTTGTATCTTGTATCGCCCTTTGCATTGACCCAAAGTTTTCAGGCAAAAGAGTAGTAGAGGGGGCCAAGGACCCTGCCCTGTTGGAGGAATTTAGAAGTCTCACAAGAGGGGAGAGAGATGGAAGAGGAGGTTGTGGGTTGGAGAGAAAGCAAAAATCAGTCTCCAGGAGAGACAGGAGGTGCAGTTCACTTCTGTGAAGGGAACAAGGACCCAAAGCCATAGTACAGGCTGAGGTTCCCAGAGCCTGATAACAGAACAGGGAATTTGGAGCAGTTAGTATAAGCCTCTCATCTGGCAGGTTAAGTGGCTGAGCCAGGTGTCCCACCAGGGACTTATCCCACCCAACCGAGGCCCTTAGGAACACCTTGCTGTGGCTGAGGGGTTGGACCTTCTTCATTCCCCACTCTTTTTGCACACCATCTACCATAGCCTTGAGTGCCTTCTCAGTAACTTTACTGGTTGCCACCAGACCTCGAGGGTCCTTGGCCAGGGAGGAGGCTCTTGGGGACCTACAGGCAGCCTGAAGCACACTGCTGCTGATGCAGCTTTAAACTCTTTAAACCCAGGCAGGGCTGGGGGAGGAGGCTTAGAAATGATCAACTTTCCCCACTCTCAGCCCAGGACTCTGCCCCCTTGGGGCTTTGTTTGTTGATTTGTTTTTCAGAAGGAAAGAGGCCTCAGTCACATTAAGTCTCCCTCAGCCCTTTCATGCTGGGCCCCCAGCTGGGAGGAGGGGGCCAGCTCAAGAGCTCAGTCGTCTCAGCTAATTGCTCATTAAAGAGCGTTAATGAGCTTCGCTTAGCCCCATCCCTGCCTAGACCAATGAGAATTCTCTCTGCTGATGCTGGTGAGGAAGCTGCTTGCTCTACCAGACCAGCCCTTGCTCTGTCCTCTGTGCTCAAGTCCTGGGCAGGACCAGGCCATGCAGGTTCTGGGGTCATTCAGTAACCAGCGTTCCTTATCCTCCCCAGAGTGACTCTTCCACCCAGCGCCAGCATCCCCTATGCCTGCCCCACCATGCCCAGCACTTACAACTTCTCCAGCAGGTACAGTCCCAAGAAAGATCCATTGCGGAGCCCAGTAATCTTGTTGTTGCTCAAAAGCCTGAAGGGACAGGGAGAACACAGATAGAACACGGTATCAGACACTGGAAAGTGCAGATGCCCTGGGATCCTGGGCTCGCTGTTAGAGCCGTGCTGCATTCTGTGTAAATGGGGACCCCTAGAGTTGTGCATGGCAGATACTGAAACTTCCATTCCCTCTGTGCAGGTAGGTTGAGTGGGTGTGAAATCAGATGCCCCTTTCCACTTTGGAACCCCAGGTTTGACCCCATAGTTCCCCTGTTATCCCTTCTCTGCAACATCCAGAGCAGAGTGGAATCAATTGGGACAGGACTTGGCTCCAGATGGAAGAAGCCCAGCAGGTCTGGACATGATGGATGCCCTTCTTGGGTTCTCTAACACACTCTCCTGAGAACTGAGGACCCTGTCCATAGATGACCACTCTGGACTCTCAAGGCCCCCAATTCAGAGGGCCTGAGTGCCCAGTGGCTGGGCTGCACTGTACCCTTGCTCCCCAAGTCTGCCTGTAGTCCTGGCAGACAGCTGACAGAGCCCTAGATCTGGAAGAAGCCCTGGCCTCAGCCTTTGCCACTGCCCCCTCTGAGTTGTTTGTTTATTCAGTTTTATTTAAGGGAGGAGGAAATAGGCACCCCCCTCCCAGTCTCATCTCCGCCCACCCACTCAGTCTTTCTCTGCCAGACTCCCTGCCAGGAGGAGGGCCTGCCAGACCAGCCAAAGGGCTCATCCCTCCACTTAATTGCTTATTAGAAAGCTTTAATGAGCCTCTCAGCCCAAACACGCCTGCCCTGGACTGTAGCAAAAGGGTTTCCCTTCTTTCCTATGCTCTTACTGATGGAGAAATGACCTGAAGTCCTGGGGTTCAGTCCCTCTCTTGAGTGGGCAGCCTAGAGAGATAGTAAGGAAGAGGAGAGGGACCAGGCAAAGAGGAGCTGTCAAAGAGATTTGCCCAGTTTCCTGAAAGTGGGTGGATGAATATACCAAGAAAGCATATTCATATCAAGAAGGCAGTGAGGGGACTCCAGACTTCTGGCTCCTCTTATTTATTTATTTGTTTATTTATTGTGGGTGGTACTGGGAATTTAACCTAGGAGTGCTCCACCACTGAGCTACATCCCCAGCCCTTTTTATTTTTTATTTTGAGGCAGGGTCTTACTAAGTCTTAAGGCTGCCCTCAAAGTTGCAATCTGCCCGCCTCAGCCTCGGAATCACTGGGATTACAGGTGTGCCCCACTGTGTCTGGCAAGAGTTTTTGATGGAAGATTTTTTTTTTTGTTTTGAAAGATCATTGAATCAAAAACAATACTAAAAAATATTCTCCTACTTCCAAGTCCCCAAGATTAAAACCTGGGACTCTGGTTTCAGAGTAGTCCAGAGGTGGTTTTAGGGGCGGGGACTCCCTGCATTCTTCAGACCCTTCAGCTATTAGTCCTAACTTCTTTCAGATCAAATCCTTTAAATCAGAGCTGGCCCATAGAAATACAATGTGGGCTGTATATGTCATTTTAAATTTTCTTGTAGTCATATTTTTTAAAGGTTAAAAATTAACCTTAGGGGCTGGGGTTGTGGCTCAGTGGTAGAATGCTCACCTAGCACTGGCAAGGCCCTGGGTTCGATCCTCAGCACTGCATAAAAATAAATAAATAAAATAAAGGTATTGTGTTCAACTACAACTAAAAAAAATGCTAAATTTTTTTTTAAATTAACTTTAATAAATATTTATTTAATCCAATTTATCCAAAATATTATATTTCGATATATAATCAATATACAAAATTATTAATATTTTCCCTTTTGTGTGTATGTAGTCTTTGTAATCTGGGATGTATTCTTCTCCAGCACATCTCAATTTAGATCACTCATATCACAAGCGCCCATGTGCCTTTGTGGGGTGGGATGGGGGCAGAACAAAAAATTAGAGACCAGACCCCGAGGCAAGCCAGGATGAGCCTCTGGCCCAGAACAACTTATTTTTTGGCCTGGCTGCAAGGTTAACTCCCTGTCAAATGCTACTCGCACTCTCTAACCTGAGCCTCAATCTCCTGTATGCTGGATCCACTTCTCTCTGTGCCTCCTTGAGGCAGCCTCTATGTGTACTAGGAGAGGGCAGAACAGGAGTCAGGGTCAGTTGCAGCCCATGCTTCGGTTTGGCTTGCTTGGCACAAACTCTAGCTCTGAAAGTCTTGAAATGCAATTTTTTTCTTGCTGCAGGGACATAGCCCTGAACCCCACCCTCTGACCCACTCATAAAGAGAGGCAAAGAGTATTTCATCCTTCTCCCCAGTGGGCCCCTGTCTAGCTGCATGCCAGCTCCTGGACAGGCTGCAGGCAGATGGCTACATGATGCCAGTCCCCAAATACCCAGAATTGGATCTTTTGTTTTTTACCACCTGGAGCAGTTTGAGAAAATTTATTTTAAACATGGCTTATCCAGAGAGTGGCCACCTCTGTGTTTGTGGGTTAAGTTCTCAAGTGCATGGGTCTGGGGATTTTATTTTTTAGTGGTACTAGGGGTGGAATCCAGGGCCTGGAGCAAGCTAGGCAGGTGCTCTACACTGAGCTACACCCCAAGCCCCTGGGTCTGGGAATTTTATGGGCAGATGGAAAATTGGCAGTTAGAGGGCTATTAGAGGGGTAGATGGACACATGCCACCCAGCTTCATCCAATGGGAAGGAAAATGTTCCCACCGCTCCATGCTGTCTCACGGGAAGAAGACAGACAGGGTGGTCACACAATTGGGAAAGCAAGGAGGGAGCTTAGGTCCCACAGTTCCATCCAGCTGTCCCAGAAACAGTGTCAACATGGATCCTCTTTAATTTCCTCACACAAATACCTCCTCAGCCTGCACCATCCTCTTGCCTTACTGCCTCAGAGGGAGCCAGCCTGGCGGGTCCCCTTCCAACCGCACTAACCCTGCTCTCCCAGCCAGGCATCTTCAGTTTCTCCTGCCCCCGCTCCGCCCCGCGCCCTCCCTCCTCCTTCCACCCCCAACCTCAAGCAAGTTTTCCATGGGAAGGAGGGTTAGTCCCTGGAGTCCCCTGTTCTCTACTCCAGAGTTTGAAACCTGGCCAAACAGAGGGGGCACACCAAGTCCATTCCTGAACGGTCTGCCAGCTGGGGTCCTATTTTAGGGAAGAGAAGCAGAGTTACCACTAATGAGACTGGAGGCCAAAGGAGCGAGTGGCTGGCGTCTACAGAGAAGCCCTGTGGCCTCTGGGCAGCCACAGGAACTCACCAGATACCACCCGACATCAAAGGTGACCCTCCAGGAGTCACGTGGGCATGCTCTGTGGGGCATGGAGCCAGCACGCGCCTGCAATAATCGTTTCTCACATGTGCAGGAAAAGTCGTGCATGTCAGTCCCCCTCCCTAAACCAACCAGATGAAACAGCCATGTCTCTGGATCTGGGGATGTACACTCAGGAGTTTGACTCTAGAGCCGCAGAGGGTCCAGACCATTGCGAGGTTCCTGAAGCCTGGGAAGGCTCTACCACCTCCAGCCGGAGGCTTGGTGGTGTTTAGGGAGATGAGCAGTGAGGGGTGGTGGTGCTGGTCTACTTGCTGATATCAAAAAGACCTACAAAATAATCATTCCTTCTAAAATGTAAATGTCGAGATCTCCAAAGGGAATGCCAGAAGGCCCGGCTTCAACACACACCTTCAGACTAAGGACTGCACTTCTGTGGTTTCCCTTCCCTTTGAGGTTGCCCATCATGTCTATTGAGCCTGACTATAAGCCACATAAGTGTCTGAGAGGACATGCAAGCTGCCTTGCTTACTCCTGCACTTCCCTACCATCTCTGCCTTGCTTAGAAGCCTGTCCAGTTGGCCCCAAGCAAACTATTGGCCCCAAACTTCTATTATACCTGCAGGTAATAGAATAACCCAGGTAGGGGCTTCCTCTCCAGCTCTGAGAATGCCCCTGAACTCAGCCTAGAAGTTGGGCCATCTAGGTAGGGCCCAAAGTCAAGGATAAGGTCAAGAGGAAAAATAGTCTTACAGTGACTCCTGCTTGTCTCCTTATCTCAAGCCTAGCTTCTTTGGAAGGTCTTATGTCCTTTACTCTTATCTACCCTCTCTGCAAGGGCACCTTCACCCCATCTTGGTGGGAGGAGGTAGATCCAAGGAACTGGGGCTTAGATGGGAAGGATTGACCTTGAGCTTTGAGATGGTATCTGGAGGAGTAAACATAAGAAAAAGTGCTACAGGTGTTTGTGGGAAGTGATGAGTGTGCCTTCAAGGGCGGGGGGGGGGGGGGGGTCCTAGCACCCTTGCTAGAGAATAAGGAATACAGTTTGTTGTAACCATCCACATCAAAGCTTTCATTCATTCATAACTCAAACCTCCCTAGGTGGAGGGAGAGGTGTCCAAGAGGGTAGAACACATTTGCATCTCTCTCTCTCTCTCTCTCTCTCTCTCTCTCTCTCTCTGTGTGTGTGTGTGTGTGTGTGTATTTGCAGTAGTTCAGTAGTAACTCCCAACCCATCTTAAATAATTCCTCTGCATATGGCCTAAAATTCCAGTACTGGGGAGCCAAACTTTTGAGTGAGTAAAGACAGTAGGCTTCTTTTAAAATATAAATGGACCTGGTTGGGCATGGTGGCACACCCCTGTAATTCCAGCTACTCAGAAGGCTGAGGCAGGTTTGTAAGTTCAAGACCAGCCTCAGCCACTGGCATGTCCCTGTCTCAAAATAAGAAACAGAAAGGGCTGAGGATGTAACTCAGTCACAGAGCACCCTGGCTTCAATCACCAGTACCACACACACATGAGTAGATATAGATATAGCCATACAGATATAGACATAAATATACCTATGTATAAATTAGATCCTTAACCTTTCCTCCCTAGAAGTTCTATGTGGAACCCTGATCCTGCATAGTTTTATGAGCTTATATCTTGGTCCTACTGTGTCTGTAGGGCTCATTAGGGCAGAGAGCAGGTTTCTCACCTCCTGGCAGAGGCTGGAACACACAGTAGGCACTGGCTGAGTGAGTGGAGGGAAGGGGTTCCAGGTTCTCCTG